AAGTTTGGCTTCCAGTTGATGGTTCCTTAGGTCTGAATAAAATGCCCCCAGTAACGGGCCAGGGATGGAGTGGAAGAATTGCATTTTTGGCAGCAGGAGCATTAGGGCAGGGAACAGGGCAGGTGGGACCTCCAACACTGGGATGCTGGAGACTGGGGTGACATCTGTGATGGTCCTGACTTGGGGAGATGAGGATTGCCACAGCTCCCTGCCATGGTGGTTTGGGACTTAGAGGGCTGGTCTCCTGTGGATTTGGCATCTGATGGGGCCATGCATAAATCATAAAATCACAGAATGGTTTGGATTGGAAGACACCTTAAAGATCATCTCATTCCACCCCCCTGCCTGTCAGAGACACCTTCCACTGCCCCAGGTTGCTCCAAGCCCTGTCCAGCCTTGGGCATTTCCAGGGATGGGGCAGCCACAGCTTCTCTGGGCAACCTCTGCCAGTACCTCAACTCTTTGACAGTAAAGAATTTCTTCCTAATATTTAATCTAAAGGAAAGCAGTGCATTTCAAGTCAAAAGGAGCCCTGCCTCTCCAGCACAGATGGACATTCAAATGCTGTTTTCCCTGGCAGAGATGTGGTTCAAGGCAGCTGAGATGCCAAGAAGGAGACCTCTGTCCCCACGTTGGGAACTGTGCACCAGTCCTTTTCTTCCTCTGCTTCAGAGCCCCAAATCCCCACCCAAATTTATGGATGGACATCAACCCCCATCAGCATTTAACTCTTAGCCAAGTTTCCCCCAAACACAAGCATCACCCTCCTGCCCTTTTTTATCCCAGCAAACTCCAGGCAAGCAGAGAACCCAGGGAATTTAGAGAAGGAGCCATGAGAAGAACTCAGGAACATCCTATGAATGGTGAACACTGGGATCTGATGGGGACCCCTGGGTTTTGTCTGCAGCCACATTTTAGCCATCCCAGCCCATGCTGTGACTGAGCAGGACCCTCCTGCAAACCTCCAGGCCAGGTGCCAACTCCCTTCCCTTTGGAGGCTCGCCTGGGGATGTGAATTTTCTCCAAGGGGAGGAGGCGAGCTGGTTCCAGAGCCAGCCTGTCATCCATCTTGAGGAAAACACTCCTCTCTCTTTGCACCTCTCCTAGAAAGGTGGGGACCAGCATTCCACAAGCCTGGGATCAGGCCCCGGAGAAAAGGTTTGAGTCATTTGTTTACCAGCACAGGTTTTCCTGGAGCTAATTAATGAGCCAAGCTGATACCCTGCAACAGGTATCAATGACAGAGGATTTCCTGCCTGCTACACTTGAGCAACGAGAGGGGGTGAGGCTGGATCTGTGAGCACAATGCTTCCCCTTTCTCCCTTTCCCCTCCCCAAAAAAAAACTGGGAGAGAAGAGCCACCTGCAGCCACACTGCGGGAAACCCCTCTGCCATCTCCCCCTCGAGCATGGGGCACCATCCCTGCTGGACCACACCACGGGTGGGTTCCCGGGAGCAAAGTGCTCGGGCATCCCTTTCTCCCACTGGCAGGGAGTGAGGGATGGTGTGGAGTCCCCTTGGAGCTGGGGGCTGCCTCCGAGCCCCCCTCAATTCTGGGCATGGGAGTAACAGAGCTGCACTCAGCAGCGCTTCCACTCGCGTGGAGAGCCGGTGGGAGCCTCCACTTTCACAGGGATACAGAAATTGGGGGAGAAGAGGTGAGGAGGGGGGATAAAACGTGCGGGAGAGCATGGTAAAAAGAAACGTGGGGAGAGGGGGGATCAAAAACTCAACGCGAAGGCGATGCTGGAGAGCGGGAAACAAACCCCATGGGTTTCGCGTTTCGGGTGCGGGGTGGGAGCCAGCGCTTCTTGCGAGCCCCAGATATGCGGGTGGGTTGGTTTTTATTTATTTATTTATATATATATTTTTAGCGGGGGGGGGGATAGCGGAGAGCATCGCTCCGCGGGCTGTGCCGAGCATCCGAGCGCTCCGGGGGTGGCGAGCGGCGATAGCCGGGCGGCGAGCGCCACCTCCCCGCCGCTCACCGCAAGCCCCGGCCGCCCCCGGCAGCCCCCCCGCTCCCGCTGCCGCCCTGGGGATGGGGGAGGCTGAGGGAGAACCCTGGCATTAGGTGGAGATGCCCGAAGCCTTTTCCCAACCACTCCCGGCGCGGGGTTGCAGCGGGGATGGTCCCGATGCTGTGAGAAGGATGGAGTGGGGATGTGTGGTTGGGCGGGGGGGTTTGGTAAGTTTGGGGTGGTTGTAAGAGGGGCTTGTGGGGTGCTGTGAGGCAGGGAAGGGTTGTGGGGGTGTCCCAGAGCACCTCTGGGTGCCTGCGGGGCACAGGGTGGTGCAAGTCTTGCCGGGGTGGCAGAGGATGGGATGCAGGGTGGTCCCCCGGCTGTGGTGGCTGCTTTTGGCTGCTCCTTGGGGTGTGATGGGGGTTCAGGATGTCCCCCCCGACTCCCACACACACACACGCAGTTCCCATCCCGGATATGGGGTCTGGCACACGGTCCCTGCCTCATTTTCCCTCATGTAAGGAGAAGGGGTTACAGTCATTAATAGAAATCCCTTCCGCCAGCCCTTCCCTGAGCCTGAACACTTCCACTGGTCAATTCTGGGGACTCCAAGCCCCTCTCCCTGCACCCGGGGCTCTGCAACACCATCCCAAGTGCTACGAAAAGGGCCGGGAGCCCTGCTCCTGCCCTTGCTGTGCCTTCTGCCAGTTTCTTTCTGGTCTTCCCCTTCATCCTCCACAGCAGGGAGCGATGCTGCACCCTGACCCCTCTCTAACACCCAGAGCGGTTTACGGAGGTCCCCTGGGTTTCCCAAACCCCAGCAGCCCTGTGCCCCTCCGAGACCCATCAGGCAGGATGTCCTGTCAGCTCAGCCCTCTCCTTTGTGCCCTGCCTGGCTCAGCCCCGTGGCCACCCCGTCCCCTGGCAGCACGGCTTGGCTGAGCTGGTGCAATTCCTCAGCACCCTCCAAAGGCAAAAACCTCCCCAGCACTGCCCTGCCACCTCCTTCCTCTTCCTCAGCGAGGTCTTGGGTACAGGAAAGACTGTGGGACCCAGGTTAATGAGTCATTAATTAATTAAGGATCTACTTAATATGCATGGGGAGTTGTTTGTTTCCTTTAGCAGCCCGGACTTTGGATGAGATCCCAGCCCTGCGAAGCCTCCAGCCTGGTCTCCCAGCTGATAATAGATAATACAGATATTTCAGCACCAGCCAAAGCAGAGTCATCATCATTAATACAGAGCCCTCCCCGCTACACCACGGAGGTCACCAGGCAACTCCTCGGAGTGCCCGGGGGGCTCAGCCCCTCTGGCTTTCCTCAGGCTCTGCCTGGCCAGGTGAGAGGAAACCTGAAGTGATCAACAGGTCTCGGGGCTGGGGAGGTGCCCCCTGCACCCCGAGCAGCCCTGGCTCCCTCCCAGCGAGGCTTTCGAGGCGCTGCGATTTTCGCTCTGCCGCGCACGCAGCTTTGGGCATCTGTCAAAGTAGCTCCGCTCTTCCTCAGCCCCCTTCCTCCCCTCCTCCTCTTCCTCCTCCCTCAGCCATCAGCTGTCAGCTGGCCCTGGCAACTCGGCAGACCCAGTGCTGGAGCTGGGTTGGTCGGAGAGCCCTGGCTCCAAAGGGATGGGGCGGTCGGGGATGGAAGGGGGGTGTCATTGTGCCCTCCATCCCTTTGACCTTGCCTTGATGCTCCCCTCCCTCCCCGCTCCTCTCCGTGCCGCTGATTCACGGGGGTTGTTTGCCTGGCCAGGGCAGGATCAGGGACACGAGTGTGAGTCACAGCCGAAGGTACCTGGCAGAGTTCATCTGCAAGCCCCGTGCCTTCGATTCGGGAACCGGTGCCTGCTCTCAGCCAGGACTGAGAAGTCCCTTTGAAACCTCCACCTGATCCCCCTCGATCCCTCTTTTCCCCTTTTCCTCGCAGCCTTGGCAGAGCCATGGCTGAAACACCTCTCCGTGAAAGTCTGAAGATGCATCAACAGCCACCCTCCATCAGCGAATGTCAGGCCGTGAAAGGCAAGGGGGCGGTGGGGGAAGAGGGAGAGACAAATTTTGCGGTTCATTCCCACACAGGGTGATTCAGAACAAGATGCTTTGTAATTACGCATCCCTGATGGAGACTCCTTCTCTCTCCACCCGCTCTCCCCCCCTCTCCCTAAAGAAAGGCAAAGCCGTGCCTGGGTGCCAGCATCCCCCAGGAGCACAGCGCCGGGAGCAGCGTGTGTGTGTCTGTGTGTCTGTGCCACACTCGGAGCTTTACAGGGGCTAAAGGTTAATTTTCACCCCCGCTGTGAAGCCAAGTGCTGAGAAATGGCAATTTTGGGGGGGCACACGAGGAGCTCATCGCCTCCTCCAGCCCTGGGTAGGTGCCACACAATCAGCGAAGCAAGAAGGGAGCCCCCCACCACCCCGAGGAAAAGGGGGAAGGCAGGAAGCTGCCATGAGGGCAGATTCATGCCCGGGGCAGGCAGCTGTCTGTCCTTCCGGGACTTTGTTTGCCAACATTGCGGGCTGAGGAGTCCCGGACCCCAGGGCTGCCCGCGAAGGCGCCGCGGCTTCGCAGCACTTTGCAGTTCAGCCCCGGCTGGCTCTGCAGCTCTCCTGTCGCGATCCCCCGCTCCTCTTCCCTCGCCTGGCTGCCTTCTATCCCCTCAGAAAACCCCGTCCCCATCTCCCTTCCCCGGGACACGTCTGCATTCCCCCCTCCGCATCCTGCAGACAGTCAATATTTTCCACCGGTGCTTGATGTTTGCCCACAGGACCCGCATGCACAAAAGTTAAAACTTCCCGTGTCAGGGAATGATTACGCTCTTATCAGTCCAAATTGCGGAGTGGAAGGGACGGAAACATCCTCCGGGTGCCGTTTCCAGGGGCAAAAGGAGAGGAGTGGGTTCCCACCGCTGCCCCCATCGCCGTCTCCCCCGGGGAAGGATTCAGACCCCCCTGCGCTCCAGGCAAAGCGCAGCCGGAGAAGTCGCGTTCCCCCTTTTCCCTCCCCTCCGTGGAAGAAGGAAGGGTGGCCGGGAGCCCCTTACCTTGCCGAGCTCCCCAGGTTTTATATCCTCCTCCTTCCCTTCGTCAAATTCCAAATGGAAACCAGCAACATATCCAGGGGTAACCAGCCCAACATTGGGCAGCGCGTGAAGTCCAAAAGGATGGCAGAGCTCTCTCTCCCCCTCTGCTTCCTCCACTCTTGCCTCTACATACATATATACATACACATTTATATATATATATATATATATATGTATATATTAAATGGAAAAGGGGGAAAAAATCCTAAAAGAAATGGGGGTGGGGAGGGAGAGGAAGGGAGAACCTTTGGTGTCTCTGCAGACAGGCAGGTAGAAGAGAAAAGCTGAAAATAATTAAGCCGTTTTTTGAGGAATCCTTAGGAGAGGGGAAAAACGCAGTTAAAAGCCAGTAAATCATTAGATCCAAGCAGACAATCAAGTCTTCTCCTTTGGAAAAAAAAAATATACAGCAGGGTTCAGAGTAGCTTTCCCAGCAGCGAGGAGCAAGAATGGTCTTCTTCAGGAAGATATGTTTGTTTAAAATCCACTCGTCTGCTTTTCCTTCTTTCTCTCTCTTCTCCCCCCACACTTTTTTTTTTTTTCCCTCTTAAATTTATTTATTTATTTTTTTAAATTCTGCTTCTGAATCTCTCTCTCTCTGAAACTAGATCCAGTCTTTGTAGCCAGGGGCTGCATTAAGGATTACATCAGGCTTTTATAAGCTTTCCAGATCACACATTAGAGTGAGAGAGAGAGAGAGAGAGAGAGAGGGAGGGAGGGAGGGATAGGAGGGAGGGATGAAATGCACACACACATACACACGCACACGCACGGATCGGAGCTTTGTAAAACAGGCAGCTATAGGCGAGGACCCGAACTGACACGGTATCGCATCGGGCATGCTCCGCTAGCCTCCAGCAGGAGAGGATGGATGGATGGATGGATGGATGGATGGATGGATGGATGGATGGATGGATGGATGGATGGATGGAACAGAGGAGCCAGCGACAAGCCGGAGCGCGCTGGCGGCTCAGCAGCAGCGCAGCCTCCTCGGGACAGCTTAGCCCTAAGCGGGGAGCCAGGAGGTGAAGAGGGAGCCGGGATGGTGGTGGTGAGGATGGCGAGGCTTCTGCTTCCCCCCCCTCTCCTCTCCCCGCCCCGCTCCCCCAAAAACCTGCGGAGGCTCAGCACGGAGAGGTGCCGCTCGCCCGCAGAGGGATGCGCAGAGATGCTGGTGCCGCTGCCTGGGTACCGGCAGGGAGAGGGGGGTGCTGGGGCTCTCTCATCGCGCCCCCCGGAGCCTCCCCCGGATCTGGCAGCCTGGGAAGGGGAACGGGACACTGGACAGGGCGGCGGGGAGCAGTGGAGCGGTGGATCCTCAGCCCCTCAGCTGCGGGGAGGGAGGGCGGGGATGGGGGGACCTCCCCCAGCACCCCCGGCTCGGCCGTGCCTTTGCACCAGGGTTTGCCCAGGCAGAAGACGGCGACGGCCATTAACCCTTTCCTAATTGTTTAAATTTTACCTCTTTCCTAGCATCCTCCTCAACTCCGTGCTCCTTTAACCCAAAATTCGGGCTGGAGTTGGGGGGTCTCGCATCCAGGCAACACCCCAGGGTAGCAGGAGGCTGGGGAGGGGGGAAGGGAAAGTTTGAGCAGATGGAGGAGGAGGAAATGGGCTGGGGTGAAAGGTACGTGCTACATCCCGGCAGGTTTGGGGTAAAGGTGCTGCCTCCAGGTTTGCAGCCCGAGGAAGGTTCTCCGGCAATAAGGAGCCCGCCGAGCAGACAAGGGGGGGTGGGTGGGAAGGGGATGGAAGGGAGAGGGAGAGGGATTAGGCTGGAGGTGTGTGGAGAGCCGGGGGACTTCAGCATCCTGTCAGACTTCGGGACCTGCCCCTTGTTTTTAACCCTTCCTACTCCAAAAGGGGGGAAACAACCCTCTTTCCCTGACAAAATCGCCTCCCACCCTGCCCAGGGCTGCTGCTCTCCCATCAGGGAAGGGGCACAGAGCTGCCCGAGGGGCAGAGGTAAAGATCCCATCTGCCACCAGCCTCTGTCCCTGTGCCTCAGGGAGGTAGAGGAACACCCCATCTCTCCCCCCAGAGACTCTCCAGGGCACGTCCACCCCCTCCTCTTGGCCTTCTTCCCCTTTGCTCCCTTCCCTTCACATTCAGCCACTATTTCCACACCTTCAAACCTTTTGCATCCCTAAAAAACTCCTGGGAGAAGGAGAAAAGAAAGAAAAATCTTCGTTTAGCAGAGCTGAGCTGCAAAGCCTGGCTGTGGAGGAACGCAGCAAAGCAGCCTCTCATCCCCAGCCAGCACTGCAGCATCGCTGGCCAAAGGCATCTGTGACATCTCCAGTTAAGCGGGGACTGGAGCAAAGGGGCAGCTGGGGCCTGAAATGCAGCGTTTCAGCCGACAGGCGGCTATGCTGGATTAGCACAGTGCATGCTCCGAATGGAAATCTCTCCCTTTCCCTCGGCAGCATTTTGGGAGTTTGTTTTCCTTCAGGAAGGCTTCCCTGCTCCTCCGAGTCAAACAGGGATCTCTTACCCGTTTCTGCAGCTCCTCTCTCCCCAGCCATCACAGGTGGCAGCAGGAGAGGGAAAAGCTTTGGAGGGAGACAGGGAGTGCTTGGCAAAAGCAGCCCAACCCGAAACCTAACCCTAAAACTGACTCAAATGTTAACACTAATGCTTGTCCTAACCCCAAACCGAACTGTAACCCTAACTGTAACCCTAAACCTAACTCTAACCCTAACGTAATCCTAACCCTAATCCTAACCCCAACTCTAATCACAACTATAATCCTAAACCAAACCCCAATCCTAATCCTATTCTCAACCCTTATCCTAGCCCTAACCCTAACCCCAACTCTAATCCTAACCCTAACCCTTATTCTAACCCCAACCCTAATCCTAACCCTAAACCTTATCTTTACCTTAACTCTAATCCTAACTCTAATCCTAACCTTAAACTTCACTGAAAACCTAACCCTAATCCTTATCCTAACCTCAAACCTAATACTAACTCTGAACCTAACCCTAACCCTAACCCTAACCCTAACCCTAACCCTGACCCTAACTCTGTCCCTGCCCCTCTGAGCCCCTTGGGGCAGCTCTGCCTTTCTTTTGGAGTGCTGGGGGAAGAGAGGGGCACTCACCTTCCCTGTCCTGTGTTTGGGGAGGTCTGGAAGAGCAAAGTGCAGCTGGTTTCTCTCCTGTGTTGCAGGGCAAAGAAACACAAGCAGAAGGACCAAACCAAAAAGTGCTGCTGACCAAACCAAACCCATTTTCTGTTACAATGGGGCCTGTTGGAAAACCCATCTTTGTGGAAATGGGGAATTGAGCTCCATGAATCTGAGAATTGCAGAATATCCTGAGCTGGAAAGGATCAACAAGGATCATCAAAGTCCAGCTCCTGGCCCAGGACCAGGAATCCTACCCTGGGCCACAGAGCACTGTTCAAAGATACTGCCAAATGTCACTGCAGACCATTTTTCCCCAGTTCTAAGTAGAGAGATTTGTGAATTCCTAGACCACCATTCAACAAGAGGTTAAACATGGCCTGCACCTCAAAATCACAGAGAGGCCTGATGTCCCCATTTCTCACTGTGTGCCCTCCAGGGAGAACTGAGGGTGAGCTGGGACAGCAAACAGGACGTGAGGATTTGGGGTCTGCAGCTGTCTGAGGCACCCAAGTGCAATAATTCACCTGCTCTCTTCATCCGTGAAGTGATGAAGGCAAAATAACTTTATCATAAAATGGATCTGTGAGATTTCCTGCAGCAGGTTAACTCTGAGGGCAAAGAAAGCCATTGGCAGAGCAGGAGATGCTCTCAAAACATCAGATCTCCCCAGAAATGTGAGTCTGGGGGGACATAGACCCTTCCTTCCATCCTGCCAACATAACCCAAACATGGGACCTGTGGGGAGAATGGTCTATCCTGGTAACATAACAGATTTAAAGGCACCTTTGTGTTTGTGGTTCTCCCCTCTGCTCCCCTTGCAGGGACCAGTCCTAGGTCAGCACAATTTCTTTATGACACAGAAAGCCCTGAAACAGAGATCTCTGCCCTGTTTTGCTTGAAAATGTCCAGAAATAACCAAAAGACCTCAGCTCAGCCCAAACTGGCAACCTACATCCCATCACATTATGGTGTGAGGACTCCTGAAATTCCTCAGGGCAGATGTGGGCATTATCAGCACCTTCCAGTGTCATTCCCAGAGGAAAAGAAGCAGACAAGAACAGCAAAACCAGAGGTCACAAGGCTCAAGAGCTTTTGGGACAAACCATTCCTGCACCATCATGGTGGTGCTGATAAGGCAAACCCACCCCTAATTCCCCTTGCTGAGGTGCTGGGTGGGTTTTGTGACAAACACCAATTTTGCTGTCCAAAAACACAGCCAAGAGTGAAGTATCTTTCTCCTCTCTGCTCTGTTTTCTGTCTGGGTTTTGGAGGTGGAAAGGCTGAGCTGGATCCAGCTGTAGTTCTGTAGTTCTCCTCTCCCCACTGTCAAAGGAAAACAGCAAACTCAAGAGAGATAAACAAAACCTTTACCCACACTTTGAATTTAGAACATGTTTGTTGCATAGAAAACCCCTCTTGTTGTCAGAGGCAAAAAAGGATCCAGAGCAAAAAAAAAAAAAAAAAAAAGGGATGGGAATATCCATGGTTAAAATCCATGGTTAAATGTAGCACCCCTGGGAATATGCAAAGAGATTTTGGGAGAAGAATTAAGCTGCACACTTCAGGAGCCTAAGCTGGTCTCAAACTACAAAGTACATGAGGGAGACATGAAAGAGCCAGAAAAACATTTTCTATCTGCCCAATTTTTCCACCTTCTTTTGAAGCATGGAATACGGGCGGAAAAAGGCTGTTTGGGCTGGGAGCTGCTCAGAGCTGGCTTGGGTTTGTTAACTCTGTCCTCCCACCTCCCACATTGCAAAGGTAGGCTGGTTGTGCTGTTGGAATAATAGATTTGCCCCAAAAATCTGCTGGAAGCATAATTTCAATGTAGAGAGACTGAATTTAGTTTTTTTGGAAGAGTCTCCTCCTGCCAGTGGTACCCCCAGATATCGTAGGTGTGGATGAGGATGGCAAGGGAAAAAAAAAAAAGGGGAATGCCTGGGATTCCCAGAGGATCTGTTTGAAAAGGATAACTGCAAAGCAGGACAGCTTGTAAGTAATCAGTTTACTTCCCCTCCAGCAACAGATACCACTGTGTTTACATCTATAACACTTTCCATTTTGTCCGGTTAAAAATCTCCTTGAACAATTCAAATTTCGAGGCAGCCACATCCTTCTGCTGAAGGGAGACATGGGATAACTCAGCTCTTGAAAGGGATTTTCCCATGCCTGCCTCTCACATGACTGCTGTGCTTTCCACCTTGCTTTTGTTGTTGGTAATTTTTATATGTTTTTAATGGCTTTTCATTGCTGTTGCCAGCTGTGGTTTCTGCTGGCAGTGGCTGCTAAGGAGTGTTAATGGTCAGGTGTCACAGGTCAAACCCAGCAGTCCCAGCCTCTCCTAAGGGCAAGGAGAAAACTCCTGCTCCTCTTCCCATGGGCTGTATTTATTAAAGTGTAGCAACTGTGTTCGAGGAGTGTCTTTGCTCAAACTCCTCCATTTTTGGACAAGGTGCTGAGAGAATTCTCCTAAATAGGAATTTAGCATCGAGCCCATTTTATAGACTTGTAAAGTGAGGTGAAGCAGATGTTCCAGCTTTCCCAAGCATGGAAAATCATAACTTCATCCCTCTTCCCTGACCAGCCTGCTCTGCATGCCAGGGCCAGGGGAGAATTCCATGGGGCCCCAAAAATGCCCTTAGTGAGGGGAACAAGCACCAGCACAGGTATGGCCACAGCCAGTGATGGAGGAGAGAGCTTGGTGAGTGACTGCTGCTTTGTTGAGGAAACCAAGCTATTCCCAGAGCCCCAAAGCTCTTGGATGACCAGGGGAGAGGATGGAAGCCCCCTCTGAAAGCATTTGTGATGCTGGCCCTGGCAGCAGAAAGGAATTATGGAACCCAAGCCCAGATGTTCACAGCTCCTCTCTTTTTCCAGAGCTTTGAACTGATCCTGAACTTTCCTCTTTCCCCTGTCCCTGCCCAGGAAGGGAAGGAGTGAAGAGGAGATATTAATGAAGTTCTTCTTCTGGTGAAGATCTTGGGACCAGAGGCTGAGAACCAAGAGTGAGAGCTAAGGCAAAGTGCACTTTGATGTTATTGCCAGTGAAGACAAATCAGGAGCATCCCAAATCATCACAATAAAGAGAATTTCTCTAACAAGCACTCAGCTCTTCCTTATCCTTCTTTAGAAACTTTCTACAGGAGGGAAAGTGCTGAACATCTTCTAAAAATAGCAATGTTAATAATAATTACAACATCTTTCCTGAGTCATGGAAGGGTTTGTGATGGAAGGGACCTTGGAAGATGATCCACTTCCACCCCCTGCCATGGGCAGGGATACCTCCCACTATCCCAGGTTGCTCCAAGCCCCCCTGATCCTCCTGGCTGGGCAGTCTGTAGCAGACCCCACTCTAATGTCACCTGTCACCTCCCTTAATCCTGAGCCAAAAATTCTCCCTTAGCTCCTCATCCATCCTCAGGCAAAGCTCCAGGTATTCCATCTGTTCCTCAACACAGAGGGACACAGCCCCTCCTCATCTCCCTGTGCTTGTCCTTCCTAAAGAGAATTCCTATTCCTCTTCTTCCCGTATCCTTCCATTCCACCCCTCCAGTCACAGGAGTCATCCCAACCCAGTCAAAGGAGCCATCCCACCACATCTCCACTGTGCCAACAAGATCACAGCCCTACAGAACACACATCCCTAATCCTTTGGTTCATTCCACACGCCCAGGTGTCAGAATAGAGGAATTTAAGCTGGATCAGTGACGAAGCCATTTTCCTGTGTGGAGTGCCTGGAATTCCTTTGTGCTGCCCTCCAGGTGCTTTCCTGCTGACCTGCAAATCCCTCTCCAAGCTCTTGGCATCTGTTGCTGACCCTGGCACCAAACTGGCAGGAGAGGGATGGACTGAGATTCCCCTTCCCCTGGGAACTCTCTTTTCCCACACCAGCTGCTGGGAGCTGCGAGCCACTCGTTTAAAACCCCTGGTTAGCACAAAAGGTTTCTTTGACAGTGGAAAAGCAGATTCCTCTGCAGAGCTCTCAATGTGCTTCCCAAGCAGAGCCATAGATGGCAGTACGTGGTATTTACAGAGTTATTTCCACGAGTAAATCTTCTTATTTTAGCAGAAAGCGAGAGAATTTCATTTCCTTGTAGCTACAACGCGCTCAGAATGAGAACTCCTAAATCAATGGAGAAAGCAAGAAAAGCCTCCTTGCCTGAGCACCAGTAGACAGAGCTTGAAATGCAAAATCCCTCTGTGCTCTACAGGATTCTCTATCCACTTTCACAGGGATGATACCTGAGGAGTTGAACAAGAAAACAATTTTCCATACTGGAAAAAAGTTGAAGATCTCTCAAGTGACTGTCACAAAAGCCTGAAATAAGCTCAAAATTCTGGGTTCACTTTCACAAACCAGCAGTTGAGCGTGTGAATGTGAATTTAATTCAGGCCAGACAAAAGGGTTTTTTTTACTTTGATTTCAACTTACATTTCCACTTTGTTATTGCTTTAATGTCACTAGGTTAGCTTCAAAAATCCAAAATAATTTTAAAGTAACAATGTTTGAGATTTTCTTCCCCTCCTTTTCTCCTTGTTGTTGTAAAACACTTCTTTTCCACACACTAAAGTCTAATTTCAACGAACTGACATTTCTAACCTGAAGTATCATATTGAAGTAATATGCAGCTTGTTGCACTTCCTCATTTGTTTTGCATTGAAATTAATTAATTTTCCCAAGTCCAGCCTGTTTGGCCCTTGAGGGTAACTGGTGACTGATCTCTCCCTGTCCTTTTCTCAACCCAGGACCCTTTCATTCTTTCAATTTTTCTTTCTCCTGTCCAGCTGAGGGGCCTGATAGAGCAGCTTAGGAGGACACCTGACACCCAGCCAGGGTCAACCCACCACAGTCATCTTCTTGTCCCCATGTTCCCAACACCCAGGGACTTAATCTCAGCTGGTTTCTTTACATCCAAGTATCCAAGTCAGCTTTCCACAGGTGTGGAAAGCTTATTTCCTCAGAAGAAATAAGCACAAAAATAAAAGATCTCCAAAAGTTCACACCTTGGTGGTTTCCAACCTCATTTTTCATATTTAGACATTTCAAATCACCTCCCAAATCTAATTCTTGTGAGGCCAAGTGCTTCCAGCTCCTCAAGAAATCAATGGAGCTGGAGAGTGCTCAGCACCTTTAAGGGCCTGTTCCTTTGATTCTCTCTTGAATGGAAATCTGTGGTTTTCCAATATCTGTATTTGACCTGAGCATCCTGAAATCAAAGGCTGATCCTGTAGCTGTAAATAATTTGACATAAGCATATGTAAAACAAGTTTGATCCCATAATTTATAGCCTATTGAAATTGGAACTCCCTCAATGGAAGATGGTATTAATACCAAATAAGGGAAGAAAAAACAATTAAGAATAAATAAACCATTCACCCGATCTCAGCCTTGCAACTTTTGTATTTGTTCTATTTTCCCTCAGATGTAATCATAATCTATGCTGGGACACGTCTGTTTATGATAATGGAGGAGTCATTTATCAGAGAACTTATCTCTGCCTCCTGCCATCATAAATCCCCAGAGCAGCTGGGATGAGCCTGGCTCTGGAGCCAGGTGGTCCCAGCACGCACCTCATCCTTCAGTGCTGCACGTGCTCAGAAAGGCTCTGCAAAGGCTTCCAGCAAAGCTCAGGAGCTCTGCAGGTGCAGGGATGGTTTCAAAAAGCCATGACCTGGATCCTGGGCTGCATCTAAAGCAGAACAGCCAGGAGGGGAGGGAGGGGATTCTCCACTTCTACTCTGCTCCGGTGAGATCCCACCTGGAGTGCTGCATCCAGCCCTGGGGTTCCCAGCGCAGGAAGGAGATCAACTCATTGGGACAAGTCCAGAGGAGGCCACTAAACTGACCACAGAGCTGGGGTACCTCTGCTCTGGACACAGGCTGGGAGAGCTGGGGCTGCTCAGCCTGGAGAAAGATCCAGGGAGATCTCAGATCCCATTCCAGTAACTTCCAGTCACCAGTGGTGTCCCTCAGGGCTCTGTGCTGGGGCCAGTTCTGTTCAATGTTTTTATTGATGACAAAATATGAGGGGATTGAGTCTCTCATTAGTAAATCTGCAGACAGCATTAAGCTGGGAGCGTGTGTTGATCTGTTGGAAGACGGGAGGGCTCTGCAGAGAGACCTGGAGTGGTTGAATGGATGGGCAGAGTCTAACAGCATGAAGTTTATTAAATCCAAGAGCCAAGTTCTACATTTTGGCCTCAATAACCCCCTGCATAGCCTGGGGATGGTGTGGCTGGACAGTGCCCAGGCAGAAAGGGACCTGGGGGCACTGTTCAACAGTTGGCTGGACACGAGCCAGCAGAGTGCCCTGGTGGCCAAAAAGGCCAATGGCTCCTGGCCTGGATCAGAAATGGTGTGGCCACAGGAGCAGGGAGGTCATTCTGCCCCTATACTGGGCACTGGTGAGGCCTCACCTCGAGTGCTGTGTCCAGCTCTGGCCCCTCAGTTTGGGAAGGACCTTGGGACTCTCGAGAGCATCCAGAGGAGGCAACGAGGCTGGAGAGGGGCTGGGAACACAAACGCTGTGAGGAACCCCTGAGGGAGCTGGGGGTACTCAGCCTGGAGAAAAGGAGACTCAGGGGTGACCTTATCACTCTCTACAACTCCCTGAAAGGTTGTTGTAGCCAGGTGGGGTTGGTCTCTTTTTCCAGGCAGCACTGACAGAACCAGAGGACACAGTCTCAAGCTGCAACAAGGGAAATATAAGTTGGATATTCAGAAAAAGGTTTTTATGGGAAGAGTGATAAAATTCTGGAATGGCCTGCCCAAGGAGGTGGTGGAGTCACCATCCCTGGGTGTGTTTAGAAACAGACTGGATGTGGCACTGGGTGCCAGGGTTTAGTTGAGGCGTTGGGGCATGGGTTGGACTCGATGATCTTGAAGATCTCTCCCAACCCAGTCATTCTGTGATTCTGTGATCCTTCCAGTACCCAAAGGAGCTCCAAGAGAGTTGGAGAGGGACTTTGGACAAGGGCAAGGAGTGACAGGAAAAGGAGAGATAGTCCTAAATGGAAACAAGGTAGATTTTATTTAGAGTAGGTATTAAGAACAAATTCTTTACTCTAAGGTTCAGGAGACACCAAAACAGGTTGCCCAGAGAGGTCATGGGCTCTCCATCCCAAGAGATGCTCAAGGCCAGGCTGGATGAGTCCCTGAGCAGCCTGGTCTAGTGGAAGGTGTCTCTGCCCAAGGCAGGGGCTTGGAACTGAACAATCTCCAAGGTCCCTTCCAGTCCAAACCATTCTATGATTTTATGCTACACGAGTCCTTCCCTACTTACTCTGCATTATTAAATCTAAGGTTCTAAGATTAATCTCTTTGAACAGATTTCAGCAAATCGTTTGTTGATGGTGCTCTTCTAAGGAGCAGTTCTGTCTCTTCTCACAGCTGTTTTCCTTAATCTGAAAATAAGTCACTTCAGACAGAAAGAACAGGTTTTTCTCCCTCTGAGTGTTGAACACAACGTCGTGACTTGTGCATAAAGCCTGTTTCAATTATGGGTAACTTTCTTCTGTCCTGTTAAACCTCTGTGAAATCCATATGTACTCAGGGACGGAACAAGAGAACAAAATTAAATGTTTAAATGAGCTTAAGAGACACAGTCATGTCATGTTAACCTCAAAATATGCAACCAGTGTGACTTTCATATGGGTTTTCTCTTCTGTTTGCTTTTTTTTTTTTTAGTTCCTATTTTGAATGACATTCAAGTTTTATAGCCCACTTTAGTGCTAGAAATTGGTGGGGTTTGAATAAAACCTGACTCATTATTTTCGTTATGTACTTCAGTGGAAAGCAAGACCAATTTTACCCAAAGATATTTTCCATCATACCCAGGGAGAACATAAACTCTAGAAACCATGTCCCCCTCTGGTTTGAGATGTTTTGGGTTTAGGCACAGCCTTTGGAGGGTGCTGGAAAACCTTGAAGGCAATCCAAGAGGCACGTTAGAACCAATAATGCACCTTTCATGTAGGGAGAAGCTGTTTATCTGCTCTGGAAACATGGACCTGAGGAGATTGAGGCAGAGATGACAGTCATGGTCCAGAAAAGTGTCAATTGGAACAGATGACCCCAGGGCCAATTCCAGATCCCTAATTCTGC